GTCCCTGTGACAAAAAAAAGCCACAGAGAAATTGTCTCTGAACAGAAACTCCCGTTATACTGACTCTAGCAGACAGGATTTCCACCTTGATGATGAGGAAGTGGTTTTCCAAATCTCAAGGGAGGAAATCAAAAATTGTCATTAAAAGGGAGACAACAAAAGAAACACTATAAATGTTTAAATGCCTATGTTTGCATAAGTGTGTACACACATAGATGTGTATGCACGTTTGATAGAAGTTAATATAAAGAACTGGGGTAATGTAGCAAAGCACAAAGGAAACAACCATAAGCAATGTAGACAAAGTGGAAAAAAAATGTGACTACAACGTTTAAAATGTTTTAATATCATTTAAGTTTCTACTTTCACTCTTTGATTGTTTCTATTTAATGACATTCTCACCACATATATTTTAAGAACCTTAAATTTCAAAAATATTCATTATATGCTATTGGAAAAAAATAACACCATATACAAAGCAATTTTAAACGTTAAAATATTATGACAACCTAAATGTAACTATATGCATTGCTATGTTTTGCAATCATTGTACTTTAAAATGTAACTACTTCATTTGTAAGCTTACTAAAAAAATATGCATCTGGTTGTTAAAAAAAAAAAAAAAAAAGCCAAATAAAGAGGCCAATAGCCCAAAAAAGAGGCAAAGAAAAGAGGCAAAGAAAAGAGGCAAAGAAAAGAGGCATAGGCCCAAGGATTCCTAGGATGTAAACAGCTCGACAACTGAAGTCAAAAGCTAAAAAGAGGTATCCTTTGAGAAACAAAAATAAATCTTGTACTAGTCCTATTCCTAATTAATTTATGTAGATGAAAAAAAACAAAGAGACAGATGCTTAATTAAGCATTGTATATTTCTCCTTGTTTGTGAAATGTTGTACATGTTTCGGATGTTCCTTCAGAATTGATGATAGTTTACTTCCTAGTCCAAACCTCCCGCAGGACGACGGGGGATGGGAGCGGGCAGGATTTGAACCCTCGACCATCGATAAATCCGAACGACAGTTCAGCGCGCAAACCGCACGACCAGGCAGCCATCCTATTTTTTGCCTATTGAAAATTAGGTAACGTACGTGCAGGTTGCAAATATATCGTTTGCGGCAGAGTGTGTAGACAGGCGTAGTAAGGGGGGCACGATGCCCCGGGCACTACCTTCAAGGGTGCGCCACACTCAGAGACGCCGATATATATATTCATGGTTAATGGGGGAGGGGGGCGTCAATAAAGTACCTTGCCCCTGGCACTCGCTTTGTTCACTACGCCTCTGTGTGTAGCATTGGGATAATGTTGATATTTATTACCAGGAGTGTCCCCCTTTAGTCAGGCATGTAAATCATATAATACCCTCAGTGTGTCAGTATTTTTAAACAAGTCTAGTGGTGGTTCTTTCTTCTATAAGTATACATAAGTAAATACTGTTCGGCGATTCCTAGATTAAATGAATCCAATCATGTCTTTCTATACTTAACGCCAGAGAAGAAAAACAAGGCCCACACTAGCTCCAGCTGGAATAACCTGCTCAATGTGCAGCCGAACATTCCGGGCTCACATAGGTCTCACCAGCCACATGAGGAGGCATAAAACCCAATGCAAAGCCCTCAGCCCCCTGGATGACAAAGTGGTCATCATCGAACCACGATGGACGAACTATATATATATATATATGAATATATATACTTGGCAGATACAATTCAGCAATTCATGTTGCTTAATAGGCGTTCTAATCTTGTAACGACTAAATCATTATTTTATATTTACTAATGAAGGAATTTTTGTGTAATATATAAGTAGTATATATTCTCTTGATATTTAAATGATTTTATTCTCAAACTGATTTTTACAACAGCGAAAAAAAAAAGGGTTAGGGTGGGTGTGGTTAAATAAATTTTGATTTTGTTTGTGTTTCTCCATGCATCTAGGCCTACATTGAATTTGTGTTATATTTGTTAACTCTTAAAGATTCTTGAGTTTTCCCCCTTTTTTTTATTGTTTTTTAAGGTACTTAATAAAAAATGATTTTTCTAAAATAAAAATAATATAAATATTTGCAAGTTATCTATCATTTTATTCAGAATTGCATCCTTTGTCTAGTAGATGATAAAAAAATTTGGTAGGTGAAAACATTTTTTCAAGAAATCAATTCTTGTGACAATTTTTTTTTCTTTTTTTGCAAAAAAAAACAAAACATTTATGACATGAATAAAAAAAAAGGTTCCATGACAATTCCCCACATCAGTCAATTCCCCACATTCCCAACTCCCCACAATTACAATTCCCCACATCACAATTCCCCACATTGCAATTCCCCAAATTCACAATTCCCCACGTTTACAACTCCCCACATTGGGATCAAAGGCTGCTTCTTTCACCTTAACCAAAGTCTTCTAAGAAAAATTGGGGCCCTTGGATTGAAAACAGTTTATGATGATCAAGAGCGGCTGCCAATGAGATTCAAGATGAGGTCACTTGCAGCTTTGGCATTTGTGCCAGTGGAGGATGTCAGAGGCCTGTTCAATGATTTGATAGCAGAGTTCCCTGATGAAGACAACTACAATGACCTTCTTGCCTACTTTGAATCAACCTACATTACTGGAGTAAGAGGCAGAGATGCAGTGTTTCCCATTAGAATCTGGAATCATTTTGAAGCTGCTGCTACTGGCCTACCAAGAACAACAAACTGCTGTGAAGGATACCACAATTCACTGAGAGCCCTGTTTCACTGCAGTCATCCAGGTGTGTGGGATCTTCTGGAAGGTCTGAAGAAGGACATGGCCATCCACAGCAAGACATTGGCTGATGCAGATGATGGCAGACCACAGCCAAAAAGGAAGAAGTATGAGACCCTAAATAGCAAAGTAATTGAGGCTGTCCAAGGGTATGCCAATCAACAGGATAAGATTAAGTATTTGAGAAAATTGGCCAACATGCAGTTTCCAAAGTAACCTTTGTGTTTAGTAGTTTCTGTTTACTTTAGTCATTCTTGTCAATTATTAATAGTTTTTGTACTGTACATTTAGTTTAATGATTTTTCTTTTATTAGATAATAGGACCTTATCTAATTCATTATTTTGTACCAAGCATATTTTGTATTAAACTCATTTGTTCATTTGTGTATATCAGTTACTTGTATTTTGTAATCAGTAATGCATTTCAATAAATTGTCATGATATTAACTTTTGGAGATTAATTAATACTATTTGCATTTTAGAATTCCTTCATTATATTATTAATTTAGTGCAATTTATATTATCCCAATGTGGGGAGTTGTAAACGTGGGGAATTGTGAATTTGGGGAATTGCAATGTGGGGAATTGTGATGTGGGGAATTGTAATTGTGGGGAGTTGGGAATGTGGGGAATTGACTGATGTGGGGAATTGTCTGGCCACCAAAAAAAAAGTATAAAAGCCAATGTGAATTAAAGTACTATTTTCATTAATGATAACCATTTTTACATGTCATATATCATTTTTAGGCAATTCTATAGGATACTGAGGTGACTGTTTCTGAAACTATATAAAAACAACAACAAAACACCAAAAACCAAGTCCTCTTGATCAAAGAGCTAATCAAATACACCAAACATAGAGATGATTAATTACAAAGAATTAAAACATTAATAAATGAAGTAATTACAGTTTGAACTTTAAAGTAGTCTGAGTTCACACAAAAAAGTACATTGAATGTGAAAAAAAGGTTATTTATGATAAAGTAAAAGACAATTTCTTTCTGGACTGAAACACAAGAATGTACCACAAGCACTACACATGGACCTAGTCTTTCTTTCAATTTTGTGATGACTATAACAAAGTTTACAATTTTTTCTATCTTTTGAAGCAACCATTGCAGGTAATATTGAGTGGCAGGTTTTAAGTCTCATATGTTCTACAGTAGGAACTTGGTCATAATCATCAATGTTTGCTCTCTAATTAGTTCAATGGTGAAATCTAACTGACTGTAGTATGGGCTTCTATTTAATTCTTCAATATCTGGATTTCGTTTTCTCCAGTCTTGAAATAAAATATAACGATTAACTCTAGCAATATCAATGAAATGAAAAAATAAGGTTTTCCAGTACTTGTTAGTTTTGCGCTGCATGTTATATTTATTTAGCAGCTGGTCACTTGTATCCACCCCTCCCATAAAAGAATTACAATCCCCCACTAGTTGAGGCTGTTTCACTTTTCCAAAAACACCATTATTTGTTGTTCTCCTATTGATATATCCAGTTTTGTTTGAAAAAAAAAAGGTATTCAGGTTGACTTCAAGTTGCACATTATGAATCGCCTGCACTGGTTTAGTTGCACTACCTGTTTGGAGCCACAAAACTTCTGACAGATCCCCCCTCCTCTCTAACTGGTCCATAAAAGTGATTGGTATTTGATATTTTAGGTTTTTAGCACAATTTAGGCCATGTCGTGCCCAAAAGTGATTGGATGATAGCGCACTGAGCGTGCTTTAGGAATGAAAGTTGCGCTAAACAATTACAAAATATTTTCAAGAGCACAAATATAATGTTAGTCTAGATCTATTTTAAAAAAAAAATCTTTACTGTCCATCAATTAAATAATTAATGCTATCTCACTCAACACAAGACTTGTTTTTTTTTAAAAAGTTTTTGTTTCTTATTTTACTTTTTTTCAAATGTCAGTGGTCCATTTGAAAACCACAATCTGAACAAGAGCTGTGATAAACCGTCTTAAAACATCAAAGACTCAAACATAGTATATGTTGAAGCATTGATTCATATTCAAACTCATTTGTATCAGTTCCTTAACCAACAGAACTGCTGAAATAGATGTACACAATGAGAAAATAATCCATTCTCTTACAATTGCTAGGCTCTTCATTAGTTTATGCTTCTAGAATATAAACCATTAATTAAGTAGTATCCTGAAATATAGTGTATATTCATGTTTTAGCCAATCCATTTATTCCTAGTGTATAAACAATAGAAACAGAACAAAAAGAAGGCACAAAGGAACAAGTGAATTGAAACATTTTATTGATATCTAGCAACACAATGGCACAATTGTGACAATATCAAAGTAGCTGAGCTGAGAGAAATATACCAATACTTGTGCTTCACATTGAAAGATGCATTTAAGGGAGTGGCCTGTCTTTAGTGGAAATGTTAACATGGAATGTCAGCAAAGGACAAAAATATTAAGTCTCTAAAGTATTGCCAAAATGGCTTAATGAAATAGGTATAAAAATATATAATTTGTGTAATTAAAATACAAAAACAAATGGGGGGGGGGGGGGGGGGGGGGTGTCAAATTATAGAGGTACTTGAAAAAAAAGTCGTGTAATTTAACTAAACAAGTAATAACTAAACAGTTATCTATACTACTAAATAGCCCAGCAACTAAGCAATGTTTTAATTAACCTACAATTAACCAGTGTAAAATATCCAACAAATAGATGCTAACAAAAAAAAAAAAAAATACAGGACAATGATCACAACTATTGGTTGGTCAAATTATACCAATAGAAAAATAAAAAAAACAACTAATCTTTATACAAAGTGAAGCAAGATATTAATTGTAGTTGAAACTTTGAAAGATTTAAATTTCAAATCATTAAAACATGCAAGCTATTCCCAAAAATATCTAAATGCAACATAAGTTAAAAAGAAAAATTATCTTCAAAAAAGGAAATGAAAAAAAAAAAAATCACTTTACTAACAAACTATTAACTCAGATTATGAGAATTACTAAAAATAGAAAAAATAAAATACAAGCCATGAGCTCAGATTGCACAGTCTATGTGAAATAAAAACAAAAAATGAAACAAATTTGAAGCCAACAGTGGAGCAATACACTATTAGTCTCCTGTCACAAGTATATTGCAGTGTTACCATTTGAGAAACATTGGAGGGAGATTTAAATCAATTCTAATTTTCATTAGAATCAGTGATCACAGTGTTAACAGTTCAATGTTAATTTAATGCAAACATTGACAACAAAAGTTGTACACATTTAGTTAGTACACTGCATGTAGATGTAAAGCTTTAACTTGTTACAATCTATCTCATGCTAGGAAAAAATTTTGTATAGGCAAATCTAGGAAACTGTTTCAGAGCTTGTCTGCTGATGTATTGAAGACATTTTTGTATCAGTTCAATACAATCACAACATATTAAATACACAGTACAAGTATCTAAGTGAAGATCAACTGAAATAATTTTTGAATGATACATTTTATTATTTTCAAAAGGTTTTCCATAAATTATTTTTTGAGCATTGAGACATCCTTTGATGCTGGCCAGTTCTGTAAAATGTAAAACAGCAGTCAGGAACAAATGGGCCCAGTTCTGGATTCCGTTGAATTCAAACTGCGAACTTGAACTTATGGTTCAAAAGTATCAACTGTTTTCATTGTGTAAAAAAATAACTATGAAACAAGCCAATGAAGCAACACCAAATATAAACTGTGTTTTGAACAACTATCTTAGTTGTTCAGTCTTGTTCTTCCCCACCTTTCACTAGGGCCATGACATTAAAGTTCACATTCTCTGGATCACGGGAGATGAACTTCTTGATTACTTCAGCACTGTCCTGTCAATAGATCACAAATAAAATAGGATCAGATTTTGAAACTATCATTTTTGCAGTTAAATGGCTTAAAAAAATAGTAATCAGACAAATAAGTGCTACCTCAGTTTATAATTGAATGTACACTATAAACAACAGGTTTACTGAATAGATGGAATCTTAGCTTCTGTTAGTTTAATATATACAAGTCTTTGATTATCTTTTTCTTTTCAGAGTATTCTGGGTGAAGCTGTTTTGTTATGCATATTAAAATAAGGAATGCTGAAGAAAATTTATTATCTGTACAAACAGAAGCATTAAAGCTTAAGAAGCATTGCTGAATATTTAGTTGATCACTTGTGCTAAACAAAATACAAAGAAATAAAACTTCAAAACTTCTATGACAAAGTATAACATTCAAGTATTCACAAATAATAAATAGATGGTGCTTGAAGACTTTAACTCAGGACAAAATGAATAACTGAATAATAGAATAAGTGAGAAATGGACAAGCTCTCATCTTAATTTCAAGTTTTATCCCAAGTGTTACAAGTTATCCCAACACAACCAAAGACAATTTTTCGCCTTAAAACTGGATACAACAGAATGACACAGCATAGTCATGAAGCTGAAAATTGAGACTAGTGAAATTTGGCCTTGTGGAGTGTCACTCGAGAAGGACCACGTCATCTCAAACTATTCTTAGTTGAATGTTCCAAACAAGAAACTGGCCCAAAAACACTCCTATGGAACAAAAACTAAATGGAGAGATGCCTGATCTGGAAACCAATGAGCAAGTCATGCCAGATATTGGGTCTAGTCATCTGAACACTCCAACATAATAATGATAACAAAGAATAAGACTAAACTTTAATGATTTCCAGGACACCATCTGTGTAACCTTGTTCTGACATTTTTTTAAAAGTAAAAGCTTGAAGAGGTTTGACACATAAAATGAATGTTTAATTTGTTGCCACTAACCCCACCCCCCTCCACCAATGATTATAGATTAAAAATTTACTATACTATAGTGCAATGAGTGTTGATATTTGGTAATTATTTTTTGTTAGCAGTAAAAAATTCAATAAGAATGAAGTTCCTGTATAAGGTTTATTATAAATGAGACAGATTGGGAATTTTTGAAGATATCAAGGTATGTAAGCTAAATGTACAAGCCTGTAATACTAACTCTAACAAGTTCAAGACTTAAGTTTTTGCTTGAAAAAAAATAAGTCCATATTGAAAAAAATCAGTACCTCAAGAAATCTATCCGGAGTGGTGGTCCCATGAACTACTGGTGCATCTTTTCTACCATCTGGAAAAAAAAAAAAATGAATAAAAGCATAATTTATCTCAAAACACATTTTGGAATTAAAATTGCAATAAGAGTTTCAATACACTCTTCACTTTACCCTATTCTGGTGGCCTGAGACTTAGGCTATGCAGCCTCATGGTGGCACCCGGATGGAAACAGTCAGAGGACGAGACTAAGCCTATAGGGTAAAGAAACTATACTCCAACTGGGTGTCAAAACTACGTTTATTAAACTGGTTTGGGATTGAGAGAGCCTCAGCAACTCTGTTATGATTCACACACCATTCCTGAAAAGGGCTGTTTTATGAATGACGTGCATCTGTACATTAGTGTAGTACATTAAAGGAAAAAGGTCCCCAGTGTACTTGGCCCCTGGCCTTGTCTCTAGTCCTGAGTGACTTGAATTTCCACACAATGGTGATGTATAAACATCTGCTTGTATATATGGGAGTAAAAAACTAAGAGGGCATAATAAAACTATAGTGCTACTCACCCAGTTCATAAAGTGTGCCATTAAACTGCACAAAAGTCACAAAGTGAGACTTCACTCGTTCATCCACTGAGGGTGCCTGTTGTAATGAGACAAAATGCAAGTTTGATACTCTATATAAACACAAAAAAATAGTGTTCTGAATGAAGCTAAAGTTCATGAAAAAGAAATGAAACATTTTTAGCCCTGTAATTGAACAAAAATGTAAGCATTGTGATGAATGTTTATAAAACTTGTATTTCTAAGTCCAGTAGAGAAGACTAAAAAGTAAAGTACAACTATAAATCTTATTGTAAGCTAAGTTTTTAGGTTGATCTCTTGGCCTTGTAGCAAGAATGAGACACAACTCTGCACCATGCATGAGGACGTTAAAGAGACACATGGATGTCATATCCAACCATTGAAGTTTGGACCTTTTTTTTATTTTTTTTCTAAGGCCTAAAAACTGTTTACCTGTGACATGAAGGGTCTCAAAATCAAATGTGTACGGACATTTCAATGTGTATTTTTTTTTTAGACAGTGAAGGTGGATAGAGTTAAGCCATCTAATGTGAATATAACGCTGAAATTTAACTCAGAAAAAAAAACAGGTTACATGCACGTTTCTTGTGCCATATGCCAGGAAAAATTCATAAAAATAATTTCTTAAGTTTCATTAAAATTCAGTGATTGGAAAAATTTTAGGAAATTTTCTACATCCGCGTTTGTGAACCGCCATGTCAAGGCAATCTAAATAAGAAGTTGTAGAATTCTTTTTTTTAAAATTGTGTACAAATTAATTATATTTTGAATTTTCTTTAAATAGGACAAGATTTTTTTTGCCTGAAAAAAAAAAAATGGTTAAGTCAAAATTTGTGGAATTAAAAAATTTTTCAGAAAATTCCCATCACTTCTAACATAAACAAATAGTTTAACACATAGACATATATTTTTTGCTTTTTATCTGTTTTAAAACAAATTACCTGAGTGTCCCCTTCTTGTGCACAATCATCATGGGCAGCTCCCATTTTCTAATCAGATGAAAAAAAAACAAACAAAAACTTTAACACCATGATTTCAACAAAGAATTAGAATGTAATAGGCAAATAAGAAAGCCTAAACAAAAGCTAAATGTAAAAATAAAACACCCAATGCAGACATGCCTACCCTCAATACCCAGAATGTGGAACCCTCAGGTTGAAAATGTGGAATTTCGGGCCCCAATGTGGAACATAAACGCTTAAACTTATGTTATGCCGTATTGCATGCAATAAATAAAACTTACATTATTACATAAATAATGATGCTGGTTTGGTTCTTATACATAGATGTAAATAGTATATAATTCAAAGTAAGAAAATCTGTAATTCAATCAATAGTTCTATCTAACTCTATATGATGAATTCAATTCAATGTATTCTAATGTTTCTATCTATTTTGTATTTGTTACTACTATAACTAGAATACTACATCTAGTCAAATCTAGTAACTAGACTAGAGCTTATTCTAGATCTACTTGAATTTGAATGACTTGATTATCTAGTCTTTGCTAGACCTCTCACTCTAAATTTGGTCTCTAGTTATATAATAATTTAGATCTAACAAGTCCTCTAAGATATTAATATTCATCTCTAGATCTATGAACTAAATAGTGAATTTATTACATATGATCTCTAGAAATCTAGATTGAATTTCTAGATCTATCAACTTCTATTTCTACTATTTAGACTATTAAGTCACTATTAGGCCTACTATTACATCTAGTAAATATTAGATCCTAAAATCTAGAAGTCTATTTCTAGATCTAGTCTAGTGCTATATCTGGATTCATCGAAAGATGAATAGATCTAACCTAGATCTTAAATTACCTTTTTTAAAAATCCCTTTGACTTTTGCTTTTCTTAGAAACCAGTAATAAGTAAATAACCAGTTCTAGTTGAATTAGATCTTATCTTTTAGATCTGGATCCATTATCAGGAAAGAAAAGGGATTTGAATGGAGCATTTGGCTTATTAGTATTAGCACTTACTAGATTCTAAGAATGGATCTAGATATATATGATAATCTAGTATCTAGACTACTAGATCTAGATCTATGTACTCACACTACATAGTCTGTAGATCTAGAATTTGGACACA